GGCGCAATCGTACCGAACCCCACGGCCAGCGTGGGTACTAGCGGTCTGCTCCTCTCAGAACCAATGCAGATGGACGACATAAGAGTAAACACGCCTCATCCCCATCATATGGCCTTCAACGAGCTATATTGACAGTCCGAGAAAGAATATCTCAAGGGTACCATGTTAATACAGACTTGAATTTCAATTCAAAGCCACCGACAACAAGCTGGGTGGGAGAACAGAGTGCTACAAGACGCGGTCTTTATGAGACTATGCGGCATAGAAACCTTTATTCTAAATTCAGCAATGTCATTAATGTGGTTAGCGGAGGCTTCAATAGAGTGGACAGGCTGTAGGGTGAATTTGACATTCATTTTTGATGTAAACCAAAATACAAAGAAAAATGACATTATTTTAGTCTCGAAACCTCAACCGTGCTGTGTCCGACGTTGACAGCTACTGTGATAAAATTTCATATGAAAATTGTATCACAGCGTACTATCGTAGCATCGAAATCTGATAACCGTCATTAATAACACGTGTGCATTTCTTACTTTAGATTTACTTTATCTTCTTGTATAAATAAGCGCCTTTCTAATTCTGATTTTCGATTTACTGTGATCTTCATCGTCGTCCATACCTACGTCGTCCTACTCTAAGATTTATATTTTTAGTGCCGTAGACATGGACCATTATAATATTAATTATACACGGTACCACGAAGTGTACGATAAATTTAACGTTGATTTTAAAAGTCCTTCCATAGGGATCGTCCTATTTTGATGTTGGTGCAAACCAATATTAAATTCAGTTTAGGCATATCTTTGCTAAGAGTCGCTTATATAAGTTAAACAGGCATAAGTGTCGATTTTCTTTATGTACATATACATTAGTGTTAGTTAGTGTCAATAAAAAACGTCGAGTCAAAATTTATTGCAGATCAGCAAATTTGCAGGTACACTAAAAAATAAATCTCAATTCCAATATAATTTAATTTTGTATTTTAAATAAACGAAAAGTGTAATATTATTTTCATACTGAATGAACTAAATGATTAAGTTTTAATTTACCTACCGAATTATTTTTTAATTATTAATAGGTATGTTGTGTATTTGAAGAAAATTAACATATACATGCACGCTAACTAAACATAAAAATCAGAATCTGTTTCTATTATATAAAAAAAATCACTTAGTGACTAGCTGCAGTTGGAAGATTGTGCGTTTCAATAGGTTTCAATCAAGTAAATAGCTATTGTAAAATCAACAATGTAATAATTATTATAATATTGATCAGGCTGACATCCCCATTATACCATAATGGTAGATGAAATACATACTACACCCTTAAACTATATAGATATAGTGTTGTCAGTAGAATAGTGTTGTCAATATAATAAAAATTAGGCAATAGAACGGGAAAGTAAGAACTTCCATTTATATTGTAAGATGTCTATAATATTTTTTGTAAATAAAGTGATACTAGTCAACTTAGAGCTTAGTGTGAAATGTTAGAATTAAGCTTGTGAATTACAAATATTAAAAATGTGTTGTTCCTTAAATAATTTTATTTTCAGAAATTAGAGTTTATGCTTTATATATTATACTACAGACTTAGTTATTGTAATTTTATTTTAAGGCGTCGCTACGTTATTTTTTATATTATCATAGAAACATTTGAAATTCTGCTTAAGTATGCACTGATAATGGTGTTACTTGTAAGTACTTTGAATATCACTATTAATGTATAAAAACTGGCAGAAATTGTACATAAAATAAGATAATTCATAAACACTATAATAATTCTTGTACTCCTTTATGAATAAGCTTGGATAACTTATTCCATATTTTGTCTTTGTTCATTGAATGTCAAATGGCATTTGAGTGATAGCAAAACACAGCGTAACTAGTCTAAACTTATTCGTCGTTTATTAATAAGGGGGTAACGCTAATGGGTATGTTGTATATTAATTAGTGCTAAGAAATAACAACGTCCATGATAATATGAGAAGAAAAAGGAATGTCACGGTATAAGCGGTCATTCTTTTCTCGAACTAATTTATTTCTCAGCATTGACAGACCACTGAATACACACATGGAATCTCCGGGATGCTGACAAGAAAATTGGACGATGAAACGAACTTCTTGCAATGAAGTTCGATCCTAATTATCCTGTCTCATTCACTTTCTTCGATGTTACTTCAGTCTGAGTATATTTAGGTATTACCAGTATACCGTCATCTGTACTACTTATTTACTCTGCAGTAATCACTTAAGCAAGATCATCTCTATTTCCTTTATTTCTACGCACATACAAAATACTTTTAACAGATTTTTTTGCACGTCACGTCACGTTGAAAAGTGTTTCAAATGCCTGATAGGCGTGGTTACAAGTTCTTTTGAAAATTTTACATCGGTCTGGACTCACTGGACTTTGTCCACGTAGCCTGAAAAGCATTCAAAACATCAAAAATGTAAAGTGTTTTGGTATAGAATGATTCTTTCATGTCTCCGTCTTCTTGTAATGTTACTATTCCCGTGGTTTGGTTTCGATCTTGTTTGTCTACCTTAAGTGGTTAGGGAAATACTTAAGCGATAATAAAACTACACCTGCGCATTTAATAGAAATGATAACCTAAATAATAAATCTAGGCTAATAGATTTTAATATATAAAGATAGTTGTAGAATTAGTTGGGCAGGCGTTTCACATGTCCAAAAGGTAGAACTGATATGAGAGCCCACAATGGTATATAATATTATATAACTTTTAGTGACGTGTAGTTACAGACCATAATTTATACATGAAAATGAATTAATATATTATTATCATTACCTCAAAATGGATTGTTTCCTTTTATCCTACTAATAAATAAAGCTGTCTACGTAAATAAAGATTAATCTTCGAATAATTTACACGCATAAATTCAGGATGACTGCATGATCACGGAGTGGTTACTCTCTCTCTACGTTTTGGACTACATGTTCGTTATTTTCAGGACAAGGTTTGTATGTTGTTTTTAAATGCACTAGAAAACAACGTAATAAGCGAGGATGGCGTTTCTGTACCAAAACCCATATGAAGACAGGTTCTTGATATATGTCACATTCGAGAACGGCTCTATCTGATTTGCTGTCGTAGGTAATTACCTACGACAGCAAGCAGGATGATACAAACCTTGTCTTCATAATTATGAAGACAAGGTTTGTATCATCCTTCTACTACCATGTGTACTTTGTGCTTATACATAACTTTCGTCGACCATTATAATAAAATGTTATCGTCAGACAGACAATTAAGATCTAAAAGTGAGCTTAGACAATGCAATAACGCTACTTTCCGGTGGTGTTGTTCCAGGACTCTGCAGCCTTTAATCGAGTTTGGACGTATTCTGGCAGGCAGAGTGGCATGATTTGATGAGTATTGTAAAAAAAGTGTAAATTTTTCTTTCTGATGTTCTGGTTATCCCGCAATGAAAATATTGATATATAAATATTACGTAAACTAATATGAATATGTTCTTAAGCAATAACGTATAATTTGATAATGAAACACTTATATCAATCAGGAATCTAACATATTAAGGCTTCAGGGACACAAAACTCACGACCTCTGGATGTTCCATAGAAATATTCTGAATCCATAAGTAAAAAATCTTCACGAAATTTAAACTTAAATGTATCAAGATCGAGAACTTTTATTTGCATTTTGGTCAGTCTGTGTGGCTTCATTAAAACTTCAATGTTTGGTTATAAATCTAGCGGAGATATTTTAACAAGCCGACAGCGATTCGGTAGCAGGAATCGATTGGATTGATAAGGCATTCGGTGATCAGCTCGCAATGAAACTAATCTATTAGTGGATTCACTAGAATTAATAAGGGGAAACGGAAGTCGTACGGAATAATATTAAACATGGGAAGATTGCATAGTTAACTGTTGACATGTTCTAACAAAATATTCAGTAATAAATTTACGGTGCGATAACAGTTGAGCAGAGCTAAGGGCTTCACCAACTGGTTTTTATTTTTGTTTTATGGGTATTACAATCAATACAAGATAATTTAAGACTTCAAGAGTGCATAACTGATTTTTAAACAAAGTTGAGTTTAGAGGCTGCCCGTAACTTTTCTTCTTTTGTAATTTTTCTTTTTTATTCACCGCAACAAATTTTAAAACATTTTAAGTTTCTTTAAATCTTATTCTAACGATGTTTTATTTCTACTTTTCTAAAGAATGTTGTCCTTGACCCAACACGCATTTATTAAATGAGGTTAATCAGATAATTCATAGGTATAGTATAGGTCTAATGACCTGAATCAATCGATCATTTGTCGTAACCCAAGTCGATCAAGAATCAAGACCCACTAGTTTGGTGATCGGGTTAAAATGAGTCGATCATTTGGGTCACATTTCGTTTGATTTGTTCGTACGACAGAGTGACGAATGCTGAGCAGTTAAAAAGATAATATCATGTCATCGGTGCAACTAATTTGATTTCATGTCAAAGACGCGAGTCACGTCCAGCAGGTCGTCGCGCGATTATAGAAAAGGAGTGTTTATACGTACGTGGTTTAAAAAATGTAAAAAAGATGGAAAATTTTAGGTGTTAGTTTGTTACGACTTATTATCGGACTGAATGCACGATTCGGTCATTAGTACAAAGCAAGTGAATCAAGAAATTAGTTTTGGTTATAATATGAGAATAAAGTGCAATTTGGTTTGTTTTGTTACCATATTCGTTTATTAATATATACCGTATATATATATTACCGTACGATTCAATCATAACGGACCCGTTATGATTGAATCTTTTGAAGATCCGTGATTCGATTACTCGTGTCACAGGTTGCGATCGAATCAAAACGATTTGATAAATCGCGATCGACACAGGTATAATAGTATATAACTATGGTTAAATTATTATACTGCACTGAGTATAGCGTGATTCTTCGCCCGATATTCAGTCAGTATTCTTCTTGACAATCAATGTCAAAGCTGTGTCTGTCACATGGACAAAGAATCTCGTTACGCGTCAGTCCCTTTGATTTACTGTTGCTTTTTAAACTTATTAAAAATTAATTACATAACAAAATACTGTGACAAGATGTATGGGAGGTCACCGGAGCGGCGGCGTCGGCAAAAACTGGCCCACTCGTCCACTTTTAGAGTTGAGAACGAGCAAAACCCGGAAGAGATGCCGCAGTACTTTCAGGTTATTGGGAAACACATAAATTATTTATAATGTGCCCTTATTTTCGACCTTTCATGAACTGGGTGGGTCCGTGGGTTCCTATCAGGGGCAATACCGACATGTTTATGCAATCCAATATTGGCATTGTTTAAAGTGGACAATCCCACAGACATTGATCAAAATATAAGTAAAGCAAGTGTATGTTCTTTGCGTGCAAAAGCACGCTAAAATCTCTTTTATTTCCGCGCTTTACCGCTATCGATACCGGATGACAATCACGATTTTAAAACCTGCTTGATTGTGGAAAACATGCTGTGAAAACGACATAATTGAAACAAGGTGGCCAGGGAGGGCCTATGCTTTCCTCTCGTAAGTAATTATATGAAAAATTTTCACAAATTTCACACGTTCGTTATTCATGAGGTTATTCATATAATTACTTCAACTTGGATATAAAAAATCCACTACGTCAGATTGTCCTGAAGCCATTGTCACCATTCAGATAATGCCAATATTGGATTGCCTCAGTGGATTGGCTTTGCTAATGACGTTTCCATTACCCACTAGGTTGGATTGTCTTCCAGCCATTGCCCCTATGTAGATGAGACCGTTATTGGATTGGTTTAGCGGATTGTCTCTGCTTTGACCTCGTGTATCCACTATCCACTACATCGGATTGTCTTCAAGATATTCTCCCTGTTTATATGATACCATTATTAGATTAGCTCAAAGGATTGTCTCTGCTATAGTTCGTTTAAATGGTCCATAAAAAGGGATAATGGCTCGAGAACCATACCTTCAATGCAGTGGATCTAACGTAATGGATTGTCCCTATTTAGACGATGCCATTATTTGATTGTTCCTGTTATTAGGCCAGGTGTAAATAGTCTCCCCCCGCTCTCCCTTCACAGTTACACTACACGAATCTATATCATCGAGTGAGGGAATAATTTGCTGTACCTTGTTTTTCGTTAATAATAATTGTATCGGGTTGAGTTGAAAGCTCTTTGTTTTGATCACTTTCAGAAAATCCTACTAAACATACATAAAAAATATTTGAAAAGATAGTTTTACACAAAATAAAACTACGCTCAGATATCCAGCTTGATAAAAATCCGGAAGATAAATACTTTAAGTAATAAATCTTTTAAAAATACATAACATGATTATAACTAAGCGTTACTACATTTTTAGCAATCAATAACTTCAAACAACAAAATAAGTATTAGATAATTTGAGCCCCCCTTCCCCTTTCCACCACCGGATGACCAGGCGCGGCGAGGGCTCTCACCCTTATGTTTTCAAAGTTCCTCCGATTCGCACAAAGCGATTTGCTTCGGCTTTCATTATGCGAGCGGCTAGGGAGTGGAACTCCTTACCGAAGTCTGTTTTATCGGACCAATATCATCTGGACATCTTAAAGGCCAGAGTGAATAGGCATCTTCTAGGCAGGTGTGTATGGTACACTTACACTTAGGCCTCATCATCGCTTTCCATCAGGCAAGATTGTGGTCAAACGGTTTAGCATTAAAAATAAAACGCCACAAAACTAATACTTAATCGTATTTACAATTGAGGGAGCCACGATGTGCCCAATTGTAGCTAATATAGAACTTTAAACCTTACTTAAGACAGGTTCAAAATTAAACATCCGAATGGGTTTTGATCTCAATCGCCTCATCCAGTTTACCTAATTGTAGAGACTGTACGGTAATCATCGTCCAAGTTTTTCTTCGATGATACATTTGATATGATTATTCCTTTTCGAGTTTTGGCAAAAAATGTATTATGCAATGACGTTCGTTAAATTTAATGTTTTGGTTCGCTCTGCTTTTTACGATGTATGAATTTACATTATATCCGTTTGTTTCAATATCAAAAATGGAAAGAATTAATAATCTTAGCTTCTTATAATTTGAGTCCTTTTTTAGTTGTAATTCTTTTGACCATAAAATGAATGCGTTAAGGTGGTTTTCTCCGAAGAATTTCCTTAAAAATGAACCTCGGACAAAGAATTAGTCTAGCTATTCAAAGAGGGAACGCTGCCATTATCTTTGGAACCTTGCCTAAAAGGACTCCTTTTAATAATGTATTTTAGTTATACTATATATTTTTTAAGGTTTTAAGTTATAAATATGTTACTGTTTGTTCTTTAATATTGTAAATAAAAAAGAAACATTTAACTTAAAAATTAAATAGTAAATATGTACCTACATTTCTATTGTAGAGTAATTAAGAAATTACAAGCGTAACCTATACAGACAACTTAATTTTACTCATTGTCACTAACCTCTCCTAGAGGAGTCTACCTAACTTTCATTGATTAATTGGTAATTAGCCTAACCCCTAAGTAAGCACAGTAAGGCTTGCATTAAGGGATTTTAATAAAAGGTAAATAATAAGTAGTTACGTATATTTTATCTGGAAACAAAGAAACAGACATGGATTCGGTACGAATGATCGTATTCAGCATACAGACATTTTGTTCCACTGTCATTCGAACCCAGGAACTTAGAATAGGCGACTCCTAAAAACCGTAGTACATAACAGTACTACAGAAGTCGTCAAAATATAAATACCTTATATTCACGAAGGGACTTCGATGGCTCAGGTGGCTAGCGCGTTCGGCCTGCGATCGAGGAAGTTAAGCAACTTTCGCAATGTTCGGTCATTGAATGGGTGACCAAAACCTTACTATCTCGAGCTCCTCCCTACCTTTGAAGGCACGTTAAGCAGTTGGTCTCGTCTGGATTTGCAGTTCTTAATACCCACTTATCCGCACTGGGCCCGCGTGGTGGGTCTCGGCCCAATCTCCCTTTTTCATTGATGGGAAAGGCCTTTACCCCAGTAGTAATAACATTAATAGCCTGATGATGGTAATGATTAAGCATGATGGGTATGATATGATAAGAATAAGATAAGGGGATAAGCTTATAATAAAATGTAATATTGTCCAGGCTGTTAAAATGAGGGCACGGCGAATAGGTAATTTAGCTGTAGAGGTATCTTTTGCTGCAACAGTCTTCGCAACAGGACAGTCACTCACACAGTGCCTCGGAATCCAGTAATAAAGAGTAATTTAGTTTTTTTTATATAAAAGGCAACTCTTGAATAATTATACTAGAAAATTTCCACGCGGACCAGGCAGCAGACGGGACCGGTCCACGTGGATTTTTTCTAGTATAATAGGCATTGAAAATGAATCTACCTATTATAGATTATTCAAAAAAACTTAAAATTTATAAATTTTATTCAAAACCAAAACATTCTTTTCTGAACCCACTTTCTTTTTACATCATCTTAAATCCTTCGAATTCCACGTATTTTGAGCTCTTTCATTAATCTCGTGGCCGCACGCGTTCCGCCCGCCGCGTGATATCGCACCTCACGTGCGCAAAACAAACTAAGGGCACCTCTACAGCCTCAACCGTCACGGTCACCAATATCGAAAAAAGTGTAATGATCTAAAATGTTCCTTGATTCAATACCGAGGTGTTTTTTTATAGTTTACTAGCTGACCCGGCGAACTGCGTACCGCCTTAGCGTAGCTTTGATGCACTACTTTTTTTTTTTCCGTAAGAACCTTGTACAGAGTATTAGAAAACTACAAAAAAAAAATCAGCCAAATCGGTCAAGCCGTTTTCATGTTATGTCGTGACAACGGAAAACGGGTTTCATTTTTATATATATAGATTTGATATAATGTAGTTTTCAAATGGTGAAAGAATTTTTAAAATCGGTCCAGTATATTTTGAGCCAATTCGTTACAAACATACTACATACAAATCTTTCCTCTTCATAATATTAGTATAGATTAACAATAATGTTTTGTATCCATATACATATATGTAAGACATAAGATATCTACGTTGCCTGAGAGTAAATAAAAAAGTGCAGTTTATTATGCGTATCTAGTTATCTAAAAACAAGATTTTTTTAATCCGTATTCTTACTTAAACAGATATCAGTCAATATATTAGAAGCACGAAAGCTAGAATGGTCTCATCCTCATTTAACAAATTCGTATGTTGTTGTCATTTTTGGAAAGAAGAAATACAGAACTAATATAAGAAGAAATATGACTGATCCTTATTTTAACGAGGTAAGGACCCAATGCAATAATCAATTTAAATAAAAATGGATCACCAAAATAACGACTGCAGTAAATTGGAAAATACTTTTTATATTGTGTTCGTCCGTACGGTCAAGAGAAGGTTTGGTGAAAAAATAAAGGACATGTAGCGGTAACTAGTTTGCCGGGTGAGGAAGTTTAATATAAATACTGACCATTAATTTTAATTAAGTATGCACCTATTATGATTTTTTTAAGCGCAAATGTTAAAGAAATCCTTTGGTCCATTTCTTAACCGTTTTTCTTAAGAAAAAGTGTAGGTACGTAAATTCCATATTCAGAGTTATATTATATTCAGTTGTATTCTATATAAAGTGAATAAAAAATCTTCTTTCGTAGATGGTTAACTGGTTATTATTTTTTCCCCCTTTTTCAAACTGGTTTTCTTAATAACTAGCTATTCTTATTGTTAATGTGATAATATTAATGTGATGAAAGTTCACATCAACACATGTTTTCAGTTTTTGATATCATCTTTCTATTGACGACACTGTATAAAACAAATAAAGGAGAAAAAAATAGCCCTTGCTGAGTTTCTTGCCGGTTCTTCTCAGTACAAGGTCTCGTAGATTTACGAACCGATGGCGTAGCGTTTGACTTTCACAAGAGCTTGTAACAGCCTAGACTGAATAAATGAGTTTGAATTGAATTTGAGTTGAGTTAAATCTATTATGAAAACGGATAATATAATTATTTTTTCTTAACCACTTAGGAAATGTACCAAAGGAAAGAAATCAACATTGCTCTAAAATATAGTAGTAGGCGTTACTGTAAAGCTACAGTAATCAAATGCCTACTGTAATAAAACAAAAGTTGTAAGAGATTTAATGTGAGAATATATGTTATAAGTATGTATACATACACTTTTGAATACAATGGAGAAGATTTTTAAATAAATTTGAGTGTAATGTGCGCCATTAGCCATTGCGACAAAATCTATAGGGATTGTTTTTACCATAAGTAAGTTTAACGTAAGTTTTCTCTGTTTTGTATTTAAGTGTTTTGTTTTTGAAACATTCACGAGTATTCAAGATCTGCAACGATCTAGCCTCTGGTTGGCGGTGATGGAGCCCAGATGTTGCGCCTCTTCTAGGTTGTTAGGAGAGGCTTCAATAGAAATGGGTACAATTTGGATGCAACCAAGTGAGTCCGAAATAATAGTGTTTAGTCATTCATAGTGTTCAAGGGGCTGCGCAAACAGACACTTGTTACCGATATGGCACACAATCACACACAGGAAACCGTGGTTGCTGTGTATGTGATTAGTAGTTGCTGTGCCAGATCAGTTCAGCTCAGTAGAATTGTATGAAAATTTGTTAATGTTGCTTGTGTCTTCAATTGACGACTTTTAGTTTTCAGCTACCGACACCAAACACTTTTATATCGTCAACGAGTATGTGTAAAGTGGAAGCACTTAAAAAAAAGTTTAAGTCTGCGCAGGCAGTGGCTGATTTCATATTGGTTCTATAGAAATCAAAAACTCATTGGTAGCTTGTATCCGACACAAAACACAAAAGTATCCACGTTTGTGCAGCGCCTTAAGTAGGTTTTCTCAAATAATTGAATTCCTGTTACCTTCAACTCTTACGAATAAGAATACGACAAAGTACAACGAGCAAACCTTAAAAACTTTACGACTTTATTTTCTCCGAAGCGCGCAGTATATTCGAAAGGAAAAATTCCTAGGAAAATAACATCAAAACCTTTGAATGTTCAGATGGTTAGAAGTGAAAGAAAAAGTTTGTTTTTTTTCTAAAGGGTAAAAAAAAAAATGGTTGCCTGTAAAGTCGGTTTTACGGGCGAAGATTTTACGTGACAACGTCTTTTTCTCGGTAGAATATTTATTGATATGAATATAATTAAATTGCACAATAGGAACAAGGAATTGAATGAAAATAAGAATTGCACAAATTTTAACTATAGAAATATATTTTGTTTACTAAAACATTGTACATGTAAACTTAAACTTAACACGAGAGACTCATCGTAACGTTACCGAGCGTTACACTTTTTCATAAGTGACTCCCAGCCGCAACCTAATTTAAGACGTTGTCACGTCAATAAGGTATAAATATAAGTCCTACCAGTGTCGTAGCGCAATGTTTTGTTTTCTATCAGTAAAAAAGCGAAGTAAAAGTTTAAAGAACCAGGATCGAAGATTCAATAAAACAAATACTAATTAAAATAAATATCTTCAATAATTGCTCAGTTTTGACGTGACAACGTCTTAAATTAGGTTGCGGCTGGGAGTCACTTATGAAAAAGTGTAACGCTCGGTAACGTTACGATGAGTCTCTCGTGTTAAGTTTAAGTTTACATGTACAATGTTTTAGTAAACAAAATATATTTCTATAGTTAAAATTTGTGCAATTCTTATTTTCATTCAATTCCTTGTTCCTATTGTGCAATTTAATTATATTCATATCAATAAATATTCTACCGAGAAAAAGACGTTGTCACGTAAAATCTTCGCCCGTAAAACCGACTTTACAGGCAACCATTTTTTTTCTATGTAAGCCAGTACCTAAACTATACAAAAATTCCAGAACTGTGAGCTATTGAAATATCAATCAAAAATGGAATTTACAGGAATAAATTTTAATTCCTGTGAAACTGTTGCATCAAACTTATTAAGTACTTATGTTTTTTTAAGGCATTTTAACAACTTTTTTTATTAAGTACTTCTTGAAGAAATTGAGCTTAAAAATGTTAGTCAGTAATCGGTTTACTTTTAGTACCTAATTTAACTGTTTTAATCTAGAAATCTTGGAGTTATATAATAGGAATAAAATGTAAAGTTGCCAAGTAATAATATTTTCAGGGCATCAAGTATTTCACAAATGGGCTCTGCTTACGTTAGCACGAGACCCAGCAGCGGGACCATTAGGGTTCTTGAAGGTAGACATCTCGATTATTTTCCGGGGAGAGTTGCAAATCATGCCTGCAATAATTTCTGCTGAAAAGCCTGACGAAAAGTAAGTTTTGTCCTTTTTGGAAACAAAGAGCTTAATCAACAAGTAACATAATTTCAGAATATCTAACTTTCTCCAAAAAATAGTGCTTTTTAAGATTTTCTGAATGCATAGGGTCGTTGATGATTGAACCAATGTAGCGTCTAATCCTACACGAACAAAGAAATTATGTGACTCATTTCTTGGTCGTAGAGTAGTCTATTCGTAAGTGGAATTCTTGTCCGCACACGTATACCCTCCTTCCTACAATCTGAAATCCTTTAAAACTGGCGTGAAACAAGCATTTTGTGCAGGCCGGCAATTAGTTAGCACCAGCTAACTTCGCGACTGGATTTTACCATAATTTAACATCAGGTGGGGTAGAGTAATTTACTACCTACCCAACTTTACAATACATATATTTCATTTTATAACTATTCTTGAAACATTTATGTACTAAAACAATTAATTTAAACAAAGTCACTTCACATCTGTTAAAATTTAAAATAGTAACAGAAGTTATCAAAAGTAGCTTCAAGCGCTTTATTTCAAATCCAAACTTTTAACAAAAAACATCGCTGGTGTATGTACATGTCGCAGGGAAATAAGGAAACCATGGACCTTACGAAATCCCTGGGTATACCGCAAAATGACGGTGGATGAAGAATATTCTTATTTGTTTACGTATTCTGACTAAAAATGTTGAGGGTTATGACAAAGTAAATCAAGTAAAATGTCAGAATACTGACAATTATGCCCTATAAAAAGGAGCCACGCATTTCTCTCGCTCGCACGCATTTATCGAAAGAGCACTAGTAGAAACTCATCGTATGCTCGTTTCATACAAATTCTGTTCTGTTGATCTTGTGTTAACTAAAGAATTCTAAGTGACCTTTCAATTAGTAAAGAAGAATTTGTACCTAGTAGCAGTAGAGAAGCACGTTCAGAGCACAAAAGAATTCATTTGTTAAAGGAAAAGTTTAATTTTAAAAGGAAAAAAAGTAATAGATTTTCGTTGTGAACTTACAGAATCGCCGATTTTGAATAAATCACGTAGTTAGAGTACTAGAGCGAACGAGAGCAATGCATGACTGGATTTTTATTCAATATATTCGGTAGTATTCGCTTTTCATTCATTTTTGCTTTACATTTAGTTTGGTATTTTGACATATCCCTAAACATTTTTAGTAAGAAGACGTAATAAACATTAATATTCGATATCTACTTGTTCTTAGGGATTTTGTGAAATCTCTGGTTTCCTCATTTCCCTGCGACATATTCCTATATATCGAATTGCTAATCAAAAAATGGCTAAAAGCATTTCTCACTCGGTCTTTAGCAATCTCCTTTTACCGACTGGTTCGGAGCAACAACGTGCCAACTACGTGATTGCCATCTTTGGAGCCTTCGGTCTGCCGAGCGGGTCTCACGGCTACGGTGACAGGCGATACGGAAAACCACCGAGCACTTTTGTTAAAGTCTCATTTTGTGGGCTAGTGGTAACAAAGAAATGACCTTTTACTCGCTATCTTATGCCTTCCGTGCACATCATTTGAGATGTGACCTATTTATTTGAATCTTTCTGTGGTTCATCTTGGCGTTTAATGTTTAACTGTTTAATCTGTAGCTCCGTACTCATAGCCCTGATTATCAATTTTTTTATCGAACAGATAAAAACAGGTGTGCAGCACAAAAGCAACAACCCTATGTATTGTGAACAGATTTCAATAGTGGAAATGTTTCCAAACATCTGCCAGACTATCAGATTGGATGTTTGTTCTTCGGATGGTTGTTTACACAGAGTAATTGCCAGCACGCATTTAAAACTTGGACTGGTGTCTCACGACGGAGAGAACGGTACAGAAATCAATAATTTGCTGTGTGACATATTAACTTCAATCTAATGTTATTTCAAAATCTTTACCATTAATCTTTATTGTTTTCCTTCAAAAAATTTAACTCGGAAAATTATGGAGGTCTCGTTTATATAAGGAACCGATTATTTGTAAAATACGTTTTTTTTACTGTTTTATGAATTTAACTATAGATTCAGTAGTTTTTTTTTTAAATACGTCCTATTATGATATGCAAGAGAAAGTAATCAGTATCTTTTCCTTTTTTTTGTTATTGAACAAAAAGTGGAAACAGAAACAAACGAAGGTATCTACTTTCAAACAGTAGGCTCTCTCCTAGGGTTCCTCCCAACGTTTGGTCCATCCCTGCTCCACATGTATGGAGCAGGACCTTTTGGAGCAACAAGTGAGGATGGCCCATACCATAGGGGGGCACTGCTCGTTTCACTGAAGACCATCGTGCCGTACTACCAACAGGGTTGCAGGAGTACCAACGTTGAACCCGTTACTCAAATGAAACCAGTATGTTTGATTCAAGTACTCTAGAATCTTAGATCTGTTTTTTTCAAAGAGGAATAGCGAAGCCCTATGTTAGGGCGAATAATTCATTCGTTCTTTTTTAAGGTTCTACTTACACTGACGCAGAGTCGAAGCTACGTGTCCTGTCATATTTTATGCTTTGGGACGTTAAGCTAACTGTGGATACAGAGATGAATTTGCTACGGATCAGAACAAATGCCAGATCAGGCCTATGCCCGGTTTTAAGTAGACGCGCCGTTGCACGTCAAATAAGTGGGAAAATAGAGATGAATTTACTTGGAACATGGGAAACAATGAAGCTTTGACTCTGCGCTAGTATGAGTTGAGCCTCAGAACCTCCGTCCGGGGAAGCAGTCTCCATGGCGTTCCCGACGTCACAGCAAACCGACACACCAGTGTGATGGTGGGGAGTAATTTTTTCCCGACCATCACACCGATATTCATTCCAGTGTTACCGTTGGGAATGAATTGAATAATTTATTGGCACGTAAAGAAAAGCTAAAGAAAAAATTTAAGACAAATTCTAAAAATAATTTTTGAGGTTGAATGGACTCTTTAAGCGGAGGCAGAGGTCGGGTTATTACCATCTGGCCTACTGTTGACTTTACGAGTACCATTAAAATAAGTAGGAAAAACGATCGCATTTGTTGAATAGCGTTTGACAGTAGAATAAATAGGACGAGAAAGCCTTCTTAGGTGCGAACTGGAAGGAAGACGAACTTCTTAGCAATCCATGTATTCACCGTGCGGGTGCCGGGTCAATCGTGTAGGAGAGAGAGAGAGAAACTCTGAACAGTTCCTGTGACTTGCGACCCAGGTGTAGGTTTAAGGAGGCCTTTGAGATGCGCATCAACGCTCACCTTCACTGTTCGAGTTGCCCACCCTTCCTAGCCAAAATCGATAGGAGCTTGTTAGTGTAGCCTTAGTTACTCATTCCAAAATTGAACTTACTGCAGTTTTTGACAGGTCTTAAAGAAGTCTATAGTGAGATTTTGCTGTTATACCTCTCACTCCTACTTCTACTGCAAAATGAACTAGATAGCCATTTTTAGTTTGTTACACAGGTACAGATAACATGTCCGGATATATGTCCATGTTATCTGTACTATCTGGATATTGAATTTTATGTGTGTTATGCATATATATATATATATATATATATATATATATATATATATATATATATATGTGTATGTTTATGTATGGTTATATGAGTATTTTATATACAGGGTGTAAAAAATACTTAAACGAAGTCGAATTCCGCGTATTTTCCACATCATGACGATAATTTGTTTAATCTGGACCATACCTAGGAAATTTATGGTTAGGGAGATATTGAAGGTCAAAGTCACAATTTTTCTTTTAAAATTTATACATTAATATTTTCAAAACGTTATTTAGAAACTTTTTTATCGACGCACTTACACACACGCACACACTTACACACACGCATACACATACACACAGGCACATTCTTTGAGTAGCGCCACAATAACCGCCGTGCTATACATTGCGTACTAGAAAAAAAAAAAATTTTTAACTTAAAGATACAAATGATTCCCATGTATAATATTTTGTAATATTACTTGTTTGGGTGGACAGAATGCGTAGTTTTAGTCTTTGTCATAGGTTTTTTTACACCTTGTATGTGCATCAATCTAGTCAGTATTTAAGTATTATTATTCTTATTGTTGTTATCATGATAATTATCATTTTATTTAATTTTAGCAACTTTTCCTTATCGCCATACCATTTATCTCCAATCCAACACTCCTACCGGTTGACTGGTAAAGAATGTTTATGGCATTTAGTCTGCCGTTTACTTATGTTTGACAATTTGGCTATAAAGTCTAAATAAATATATTTGGATAGAATTTTATTAGAACAGGAGACCAATCATGTAGTAAAGAGCGCCACTTCAGAGCCAATGGAATGCAGAACTCACCTATGGTTAACCACTCACTTTGCATTTCTAAATTCATTGCGTGTACTTTATAGTTATCATTTTCGTCTTGTTTTAGAAAAGATTTTATTTGTCTCGGTCCTTCTCTTTCTTTACGGAACCCAGCACGACTCTATTAACCTGTGCACCCGCCAAAAATTGTTTATGGAATTGAAGACTTGACTCAAGCTCTGAAACATGTTTGTCTTTTATAAATGATGAGACTATTTCATCCTGGGTTTGTCCCAAGACTTGGTAACTTTGAGGTGTTTATAGAGTTCCGCTGGCTTCTTTAACTTCATCCCAAAACTATTCTGATCTCTAAATAGAGTTGAGGGATCAGCTGATAGGGCTAGTCCAAGCCATAGAATCTAAATAAAATAACTATAATATATCAAATCTGATGTAGGTACCAGGGCAACATAACTTCAAAGGAGGTTTTACTTTCCACTTATTCATTTTATTTTGCATAATTCCACTGACCATAATCTATGTTTATGGTCAGTGGGTTAGGTTAGTATATATGGATAATTATTATCTAGGAGCAAAGTACTCATCAAGACTAATCAAATGCGCCCAAACTCGATCAGGTTACGTCGTTTAATTTTGAAAATCGTATGGCCACCTTCCAGCTTCATCATCAGACCCTAGTTACCATTACGAGATTAAAATACTCGTCAAGTCGTATAAAAAATCTCCACCATCACACTGTCGGTTTGGAATGTCGGTCGGAACGTATGGTAGTCTTCACCATCATAAAACTGAGTCATAAAACACTAATAATTATGTTCCAGCAATGGGTAAGGTTATCATAACTTCCACGGGGTAGAGGATGGTCCTATCTAATGTGGGGACCGAGTGGATTTTTTTCTAGTATTTTTTTTACATTTATCGTAAACTATTATCAACATTGGGATCATAATTGTTCTAATAATTGTCTAAGGTTATAATAGTGACTTAATGATTTCTAGGATCAGATTTGGATTATGGACGACTTTTGGATCTATTGCCCTATTATGGAGGTTTCGATGTTAGACTATTCTATAGCAGGAAAGTGCAGTGGTATAGCTTTGACTGTTGGGGAAGTGAACACTGATATTATTTCGGATCAAGGTAAAACGGAAACACAGTTTTTCCATTAAATAAATACCATAGCCCTCAAAAGCTTGATAGATATAATAATACCTGCGCTCAGCAATGGGTTGAGGTAAACAAAACTGTAAATTTTCATATAAGAATTACAAATAACCACATAAGTCTAAACAGAGAAATATTTTGACAACAATATAATAGTACGAGAGCCCACGACCAAAATTTTTGTCTCATAGCAATACTCATATAAATCGATAGATACGATTATCTTGAACTCGAAAATACCAATATCAGACATTTTCCGCGTAGCGTTTGATCTGACCGAATTTTCAAAATTGTCAAAGAATTTTACCGAACTGCATCATAGCAATATGTCTGATTTGCAGGCAATATGTCTGATTTGCAGACTGTAGTTGACTGATAGTTCTGAGATACCGGAAACATATTTTTCAGACGTTAGTGGTGTAGCGCAAACCCGTAAAATCAATTAAAAAAATTAAAAATGAGACAAAAAAAATGTCTCATAGCAATACGTCTGAAAATCTTTTTTATTAGTAAATTTTGGTTATTTGATGCGAACAAAACAATTTTCAGACGGAAATGCGAACGCATTAAATTTTGAGACCGTTTTGAAAATGTTAACAAATTTTACCGATCGGTATCATAGCAATATGTCTGAAAATTGTTGGACATGATAAAATAAGTTGTCCACATGTGCAAAAAATTTATATCAGACAAATTAAGTGTAGCACCTTCTCTATCAGACAACTTTTCGATACTCAGATATCATTTAAAAATCGTATTGAGGCATCTTGAATTTTCTGTTACAAACCAATGAATACGTTGCGACCCTGAATTTATTAGATGATAATTAACAAAGAATTTACCCGAAACCGTAACATTGAAGTTGAAGAACTGAAATAAATCACACAAAAGGAAACTGAGATGAAGTTGAAAAAAAAACAGTTTATTCAAAGTTACAAAATATTTGCAGGAGCGTAACAAGCGCTGAGGCTGTTGAAATTAAATACTGATTGATTTGATAGTTTTGGTTTTATTTAAAGAACACTTGAGTTACTTTTACAAAAGAAATAAGTACATATAATAGACAAGGGAGATTCTTGAATATCTATGAAGGCTGTAAATTTAAAAAAAACATTTAACAGAGGCGTCGGCCAGGCGACTCCGAAACGTTATTTTCGTTTTTGGGAGTATATGCTACACTTAAAGTGTCTGAAAACAGGTTTTAGGTAATCATGGCAGCAATACGAAAAGTTGAAAAAAAAATTATCCGTATTGCTATGATACAGGTCGGCTAAATTTGTTGACATTTTCGAAAATGCGCTCAGGCTATATGCTACGCGCAAAATGTCTGAAAACAAACTTTTTCGTAATACAATTATAAAATCTATGTACATTTTCACTATCAGACGGTATTGCTATAATACCGACTGTCTTTTTTTTTTGACACAGCAGAAATGGCCTCCCACGCAGTTGCTACACTTTCGACCGTTACTACACACCTAGGGTTCAGAATCATACAATCTAACGATTTTATAGGGTTTTTGCCGTATTGCTATGAGACATGGTTTTGGTCGTGGGCTCTCGTACTATAAGCTACAAATTCACCACTTCACGACTTGAGCCAAGCAAATGAAATTCTATTCTGATACCTACAACACAGTATTTTTTTTACAGATTTCGCTTCACTGACAGCTGAATTAAGTAAGAACGTTGTTTTTAACTGAAAGACAAAAAAATTTAATCTGTAACTACATTTAATCAATTTGATCGATTTTATAGAATCTCACAAGCTACATTACACGGGTTCTGTCAATGTTAGAAGTTCGGATCCGTCGTATGGCTATCTAGAATTCCAAAACGGCTATCCAGTTTTACAAGTTGCCCTACGTTTACCAGATTTCCGTTTTCGTATGTACAGGAGCAATATGGTTAATGGCATCGTCACTGATCTAGTAAGCAGAATTTATATCTTGCATACTATTACTTAAATTGATTTATCTTCACCCATGCTTTAAAACCGCTGTCAAAGATTTTGAAACAGTTAGCTTATTGGCAACATTAAAACATCCAATCCAAGACCCAGTCAGGTCATAAATTCTGTCACATGTTTAATATAAAACAATCGAAACAAGTTTATTCACTAAGTAACCATTTATATACCAAAATGAACTTAACAAAACATAGATTCTTATGACGATAAAGTTTATTCAAAAAGACCTCCGTGATTTTGAATACAGGCCTTCAATCTATCGCAGCATGAACGAGGTCCATGTCAATATCGGCGGCTGCCTTAATCAAGGATGTCTTGACTCCAAATTGGGATGAGGCTTTGCGCACGCCTTTTCCTCCATGTGTTGCCATATCTTGTAATCTAACGGACTCAAATCTAGACTGGAGGAGGGCCAGTCTTCGTGCCGGATGAAGTCGATTTCACAGTCGATTTTCAGTCTTTTGTGCTCTTCGCTCTATGAGCTGGCGCCGAATCTTGTTGGAATACCCAGTGCCTGTTATTGGACATGGTATGAGAAACAGGTTCCACAGGGTTTGTCACGTCTGTATTTTGATACACAACTGCATTCGTTTTTACACCTTTCTCACAAAAATGTACCTCTGTTAAGCCCCAATAAGAAACTCCCATCCACACCATGAGCGAGGATGGAAAATGACCTCGTTGGACACGCGGAATACGGTTGCTCGCTTCTTCACTACTGTGTGCGTACACCTTATCATTTTGTTTGTTGTAGCTCTCTTCTACGGTAAAATTTTTTCATCTGTAAAAAGAATTTCCCGATGTTTTTTTCCCACGTACCGCTTCAACAAAGCGCGGCATCTTTTAAGTCTCAGGTCCATTAGACGAGCATTGAAACGATGTCCTGTTTTTCTTCTATAAACCTGAAGCCCTAAGTCTTCATTTAACACCCTTTTTACCGTGGTTCTGCTTAACCCCATCTGAAGGGCCAACAGTTTCTGCTGACGTTTGGGATTTCTTTGGATTCGCGCCTTCACAGCTTTTATCACTGCTGGAGTCCTAACAGAGCGAGGGCGACCACTTCTTGTCCTGTCATCTACACTAGAGTCTTCATTGTATCGTTTGATGATACGATAAATGAATCTTTTGGTTATATTCAAAATTTTCAGTATGTCTAAAATTTGAATTGGCGCGTAACCGCAACGATCGATAACGCAATAACTGCAACACGGTCTTCTTTAAGCGTCCACTCCATATTTAAAAATGAGTAAAATTCTAAAAAGTATACATTTTTATTTTCATGAACAATTCGAAATTCGAATTCAATAAACTTTTTTGTGGCCAGCATTCTAAAAGAAAAGTTTTTACTGTGTGACAATACTTATGACCTGATTGTGTATAATTATAAAAAAAATTTAACACCCAAAAGATTGTTATAGTGTTAATTTCAAATAAATTTCATAATAATACTCCTTCGCAACTTCTTCCGCGCCAAGGGCTTGCTCATCAAACAGCAATATTTTTTACTGCTGGATGTTTCTTATTTTTAATTTACAATACTACATTGTAAATTAAAAAAAAAGAGAACATTGTCATTGACGCGCGCTTCACTACCACAGCGCCGAAACTTTCAATGAATTTTAAGTAGAACGCCTCATGGTTTCTGAATCTTTTATAGATAAAGGTTTACATCATGGGCGTCGATAAAGTCTTGTATGCACCGATTATAATTAGGTTATTAAAACACTCATGTGATATTATTATCACATAAACCTACATTCGTGTTTTAAAACCCCTCATTATACAATAGTTGCTTAAATAACTATAATTTAACTTCAATAAAAATCTCTTAGATTCTTGAGAATTGGATTGATGATTCGTTGGAAATCACGCAAAGGATTTAGTGTAAATGAATATAAATCCATAAATTAAAGGAGTTTAAGTTAATATGGTGACAAATAAAGATATGACCCACATGATTACTACTGTAAGCAATGCAGCATTAAATAATATTCTTATTTTGCTGAAGTATTATATAAATGGAGCATCCGACTGAAGTAGTACTTCTAGAATAATATGCTCGAAATAAGTATAATGCTATCTAACCACATGAAATAGGCAACAGTATTTTGTATATATACTGTCTATTTATTGTTATAAATATTTAATGTAAAATTATTATTTCTTAGGAATCTTCGGTAAAGAACGTTGAACAAAGACTGAAAACGCAGGAATACAAAACACCTAATGAATTAGTAGATGAAATTAATAAAGCTGTTGATGATGCCGCAGAAAAAATTGTTAAGTTTTTAGACATAGTCCAGTATTCAAAGACCAATGATAGTGACACAGTAATGCATCATAATATGACTGAACTCGACCAAAACCAACTATCGCTGCAAAAGGAAGAAATGGTAATTAGACTTACTGCGATGCAATAGACATCAAATATGAAAAGCAAATAAATAATCATATTGTTAAGCAATCAAATAATTAAATAAATACATTTTTGCCTTTGAAATATGCATAATTATCATATAAACTGCATATAAAGATAGCATTAAAATTACAGGAAAAGATATACAAACAAACATTAAGAAGGCATAAATCAAGATCAACATTAAGTCTAATACATACAGTTACTTACGGGGATGTACCTTGTGATACGAAAAAAGGTGTCAAGTTATTGCTCGCAGAAATCAAAATTATATCACAAAACTTACGGAATCTTATATTTAAGGTTAAATACTAATCTATTGGAAAGTATACGGGAGACTGAATGTATTTCGATTTATAATGCCTATGCTACTATAATTTGATTTAGTAGTAAACTGAAAAGCCACTAGACTAGTTTAAACTAATTTTTGAGTACATAAGCAGAGATTTAGATATGTTAGAAGCAAATGACTTCATTTATTCCGACTTCCAGTAAATTTTAGGTAGTTGTATTTATATATAACAATTCTTTGCTTTAGTCTTCAGAAGGTTGGCCTGATCTTGTTTTATGGCTATTGCGTGATGGATCTAGAGTGGCATATGCCAGGATTCCCGCTGCTGACGTGATTCATTCAGTTATACCAGAACAAAGTGGCCAATATTGTGGTGCGATACAGTCTTTGTTTGTAAAGGTATTTTATTTACTTTTCCTATTAATATGCAAAGATACCTGCATGTATTTTGTAATTGTTATAACATTTACTGCTTCTCTTTTAAGTGTAACAGCATTGTTATTTAGAGTTTTAACTTAATCTATGTTCACATTTTTTTTATAGATAGGTCCGACAAATGACTTCACCCCACCTGATGTTAAGTGATAGTAAAGTCCAAAGTTGAAGACTTTAGCCATATTTAGTTTGAAAACCACCTTGTGTTAGAATACTGAAGCACTTTTCTAGACCATTCTAGGGAACCCAAACGGGGTGGTTTGGATTTACTCGAGCGCAGCAGAATATCATAAGGTGGGCAACCTTGCACCTTGTGAAGTACTCCTACTGTACCTGAGCCCTTTATATAGGGCAGCTGAAAAGTAAACTGACCATACTGCCATGACTTTTGTTCGCGTCTAAATCGTCAGTATTTTGAATATAAGCTACTGGATGGTTCACGTAACATTTCTAAGGACAAAAAAAATATTGATCTACCGATTTGCATGGTATAGGGTTGGCCGTACGAAGAGGTAGAATATAAGGAAAAATAATCAAGCGCGTCAGACATTGAGAAAGGATGTTAAATGAACCCTCCAGTAGATCTTATTCAAAAGACTGACGATTTCGACGCGACCAAAAGTCATGGCCAATTGTTGCATTTTTTTTGCTGCCCTAGATGTTAGGCCCTACCTAGAGGACTCAGGTGTAGTGGGAGTACTGTACAGGGTGCATGGTTACCCCCTTTATGGAATTCTGCCACCTTCCCTTAGTATATTATTCAGGGTAAAAAAGTATTGAAAGAATCTGTGAATACTATCAATAAAAATACTGAAAAATTGCCATTCCATTAACTAGTTAAATTAAGCAATAAGCAAATTCGGTTTTCCCTTCGTTTTACTGCGGAAAGTAAAGTGAAATATATAATGATTTCTTTTATTTTATACAGCCAACAAAATGCCCTATCCATATAAATTCATACGACTCCGAGTGCTTTTGCATTGCTGGCAAAATAGAACTTTTTGTTTGGATGGGATTGTATAGAAAGAAATCATGTTTTGAAAGCTTTTTGCCTGTCGGTATGAAACTTAGAGTTTGTGGACATGAGCTTACACTGAAATCAAAAGTGTTGGTGAGTACTTAGTTGTAATATCTTAGCTGTACAGTCGCCATCAGATATATCTGAGCATACAAGGTGACCAAATACATCTGAACAGTTAAAATGTCATTAAGTTCTATACGCTACAAGTGACCATAAATATCTGAACATTCATTACTTCAATAATATCTGAGCAGATGCCTGTCAATAATATCTGAACATACAACTTTTCAATAATATCTGAACACGTCAATGATTATGTATCTACGCAGATCATGCACTGGGCTTACATATTTTGTTACTACGTGATTGAAAGGATGAACTAAAAACAAAGGCTAAATATAAGGAATAAATACGATAAGAAGGGAATAAAAATCTATCAGAAAATCATTCGTGTAGGTCACCACGAGTAGTAGAAATGGAAGATGCATAATTTTTTCTCTATTTATTTTTTATAATTAACGAGAAGTTATGTTTTTATTTTATTCTATAGATTAAATTCTCAATATCTCCTTAGAAATTTATTTAACCCGGCGTCAGCACAGTCAAAATATGCATCAACGACAGTAGGGTTGGGTCGAGAGGACCCGTATAAGAAAACGCCATAATTACAAAAGTTAAAATAAATTTGGTATGTGGTTGTACTATCTGTATAAAACGATTATCGTTATAGGTTTTGAGTAGAAAAAAACACAACATGATACGAAACTATCTTTTTAATGTCATTTTCATAAAAGTGTCACAAAATATTAACAAAAAAATGTTTTGTTAAAATTTTATTACTTTAAGACAGAGGTTGCTCTGTCTTAAAGTAATAAAATTTTAACAAAACATTTTTTTTTATATAACATAAACTAATTTGTTACATGTTAATCAAATCTTTAGTAAACTAATAATATTATACTATTTGTATCAGTCTCATACGTCAGTCATAGTATCCTTATCATCTGCGTAATCTCGGCAGTACAACATTGCATGGTCACTGCAGATGTATTTGCATATACAGCTCCGAAAATTATTAGTTTTCTATCTTTTTTGGCAGAACAGTCTTGGCATCTCTTTCTTACATAAAGTATCTTCACAGGTGGCTCCTCATCAGGTACCTACTCCTAAAAACTCTCTTATTCTTTTGCGTATAAGTCTTAGCAACTGAATGACATCTTTACGATTGCGCAAATGCTCACGAACCAGTATAAGGCTTAAGTTTCTTTAGAAATTGGCGTTATGTAATATTACTCATTTATTTCAGACATATTTGCCAAAAATAACAAAATAAACAATATAAAACAACAATAAAACATTTTTTTAAACGGCGCAAAATTACGACACGAATAGTATGGTTGGGTCATATTTACCTTTTTCGTGTTAGACCGGGAGATGATGACACAAAATACTTGGTCATTTGTACCAGTATGGCGGTTCTTCAGGGGTCTAATTACGTAAAGGCAAAAAGGAAAATGATGGTCATAGCGCTCGCACCGGCGGCCCAATCGCGTGGGCGTTAATCGAACGCGTCGGATAAATAACGAGTGTCGAACGATTTGTTCCACAAAAATGCTTATATTTTCAGATAGTCGAAAAAAAGAAGTAGGCGGTAGCGTAATGCCATACTTCTCGGGTGTGACTTACAGCCCGCCATACCGACGCGAATACATTAATTTAAATAAAACAATGCAACCATTTGTACCAGGCTAATTTTTGCACAGCTAATCATCGTCGAGTAGCCATTCAAGAAAATCACCTTGCCATACTTTTCCGACAGTTCCCAATGGCCGCCATACCGCTGCAAAGGAGTAATTTTTTTTTTTTCGCCAAACGATTTGTACCAGTATTGCATTTGAATTTTTGGAAAGTATTTGGCAAAATGTGACCGTTATTATTTTTCCCATACTTCTAGTAGGGGGAAAAAGTGCTGCCATACTTGAAATACTTATTTATTTGACACGTTTTAAAAATACGACTGCAAAATACGTAAAATCATTTTTTACATCATGACATCATTGTATTCTCGTCATTTGGATGCAATTGTACGTAAAAAAAATTATTACAGATTGTAAACATGGGGCGGATGACTGTCGGACTTGAGCTAAAAGGTGAAAAAGAAAAAAAAAATTTGACGATTTGTACCAGTATGGCATTTGGATTTTTGGAAATTATACGATACAATGTGACCATTATTATATTTGCCATACTTGTAGTAGAGGGAAAAAGTGGCGCCATACTGGTACAAATCGTTCGAATTACGAATAAAATCTTGGGACTTTGAAAAAATATTGTTCACATTCGCCACCTCCCACAGGTATGGCATTATCAGACTTCTATTTATGATCATACGGGGAACTGTTAAAAAAAGTTTCAGGGTGGTACAAATCGTTTGGCGAAAAAATAAAAAATACTCCTTTGCAGCGGTATGGCGGCCATTGGGAACTGTCGGAAAAGTATGGCAAGGTGATTTTCGTGAATGGCTACTCGACGATGATTAGCTGTGCAAAAATTAGCCTGGTACAAATGGTTGAATTGTTTTATTTAAATTAATGTATTCGCGTCGGTATGGCGGGCTGTAAGTCACTCCCGAGAAGTATGGCATTATGCTACCGCCTACTTCTTTTTTTCGACTATCTGAAAATATAAGCATTTTTGTGGAACAAATCGTTCGACACTCGTTATTTATCCGACGCGTTCGATTAACGCCCACGCGATTGGGCCGCCGGTGCGAGCGCTATGACCATCATTTTCCTTTTTGCCTTTACGTAATTAGACCCCTGAAGAACCGCCATACTGGTACAAATGACCAAGTATTTTGTGTCATCATCTCCCGGTCTATGTTTGGCCGTGTCTATCACTCGCTGCGGCCGCAACATGACTGATTGGCAAATCCCACGTGGAGGGGGGGACCATTAGCTCCAGCTAAGAAGTTTGGCAAAGTCGCACAAACATTTTAAGAAACACGCTCATTTGAAAACTGCTCGGGTCAAATAGACCCAACTGTGCGAACGCCGGGTTAAAAATAAGACAACTGCGTTTTTTAACCGCAATAGAAATAAGTAATAATTTGGAGGAAACATTTGTCCCACTATTACCATTGCAGTGGAAAATGGAATTCTGTACTTGTCATGCTCAAACTGGGCGCCATCCTTACAAAAATTTTATTTACTGTCTGAGTGGATGTGTTTGTTTGGTTTGGGTATGTATTATTTATAAAAGTGAAAATTAATAAAAAACAAATTTAATTCTTATAAATTTTTATTGAGTTAAATAATCAAAAATGTAAACGAATTAACTTGGTACACTACCTCAGTAGATGCTCAAGCTTAAGTATTTATTATTATAATAAAATTATAATCGAGATCGAAATAAAAAAAAGCAACTTCTGATACAATGAGTTTAAAATTAAATAGTAACAAAATGTTTTATTGTTATAATTATACATGAGATCAAATCAAAAAGTTATCAGGCAATTAGTAAGGTTCTTGAAATTAGCGTATTATTATTAGCTTAATAATTTCCCAATATTATCAATGCCCGTTTAGACGGGAATTTCTAACAGACGTAGACGGCCGTAACGTATATTGTCGAATTTTCAACAAAAACGCAGACCAATCAGTTATTTTGCTCACCATTTTTAGGGTTCCGTAGCCAAATGGCAAAAAAACGATATTCATACAAAAATAGAAAAAAAAACGAATGGACTTAGATTTTTTTTTTATCAAATCTTTACGTGTGGGGTATGGATAGGTCTATAAAATTGATAGGTCTATAAATTAAATATGGGACCCATTTCCACTAAATGTTGTTAGAATTCATAATGCAATAAGGTCGAAACTTTAGTTTGATAGTGTTTTGATGACATAATGTCATAATGAATCGACCCTTGAAATGATAACCTCTTTATAAAATACTATTTCGTGTCAGTGTCATTGAAAAAAACAGTTTAATGTGACATTTTTACAAAGTATAATTCGGAAACGGAACATAACATAACATCGGAAATGATCTTTTGCTGTCGCTTCAGATGACGTAATTGCATGGTTGTCCCTAGTAACGTAAAGTTGTCAATGGTAAACATTATGACATTGACGTTGCATTAAAATATTAGCTTTATACAGCTTGCAGCAGATTGCTACACCATATTCAAAGGTGGGGCCCAGATGAAAGCTCGTGTCTGTACATTACCATGCAAACTTCTAGCAAAAGTTGATTTGAACGAGATCAAGCAATTACCGCAATTTACATTTAATTCAATATAAAAATATTTATTTAGATAATGGTACGGAACCCTTCGTGCGCGAGTCCGATTCGCACTTGACTGGTTTTTAAATATGCATACTATTCAAATATACTGCTTATAGACATGTTTTCTCCTGCTAACCAATCTACAGTACAGACACGAATTATGAAATCTTGCAGATCCATGTTATTGTAAGCTGCCTTTTTATGATTTCATTTTTGACCATCATCATTTGCATGCCCTTTTCCCAATTCTATATGTGGTCGACGCAACATGTCTTCCGCTTCCATTCTCCTCTATCACTCGCAATATCAACACTCACTCCCTTACTGGCCATGTCCTCATTCACACAATCTATCCATCTTTTTTTCTTCGGTTTCCTCTCCCCGGGTAACCCTCCACTCTCATTATACAGGTTGGCTTATTGAAATGGGTCAGGATGGGAAAGTCTGAAACTATAATATATATGAAGATCTGTTCTTGGGAACAAGATTTTATTAAAAATAAAAACTGCATTCATACATTTAAGAAAAACCCTGTGATCAGCACGGGAATCAAATCCGGTCGTTTTGAAAAAAAAAAACTTACACTATTTCTATTTAAATATCGATTATGTAGGTCTGAAGCAGTAAATGTTTCTATTAAACGTGATGTCTCAAATGCGTAAAATGCATTTTTGTCACATAATTTAAATTATTTCAGTAGAGGTTCTAAGTGACCACCGTTTTTTTAATACAAAATTTAACACGTATAGGTAACTTATCTTACTAATAAATAGAAATAGGAAATAGTGTTAGTTTTTTTTTTCAAAACGACCGGGTTCGATTCCCCAGCTGACCACAGGGTTTTTCTTAAATGTATGAATGCAGTTTTAATTTTTATTAAAATCGATGACATAGTTCCTAAGAACAGATCTTCGTATATATTATAGTTCAAACTTTCCCATACTGACCCATTTAAATGAGCCATCTTGTATACTCTCATATTAAATTTTTGACCATTATATAATTATTTGCCGAACAAGGATTGCTGCCTGATTTTTTAAATTGCTTACAAAATCTTTTTGTGCCGACCAAATTATTTAAAGGCTGACCAATTATATACTTCTCATGAAACATTAGTATTTTGTGTAACCTCCTTCTGCATTTAATACGTCTTGTAAACGTTTCCTCATGGAACCAACTACCTTCTCACAAAAACCTCGACCTCTGAACGATTCCCAAACATCATTTGCATGTCGCCTTAAGGCTTCTGTTGTTCGACATTGATTCCCATCCCACTCTTGCACCATTTTACCCCAAAGGTTTTCGATGGGATTGAGGTCTGGACTTTTTGGTGGTAGTTTGATTAAAGTTAGTTCTCTCTGTTCATTAATCCATGTCTGTACTGTACGAGCATTATGTACTGAGCTGTTGTCTTGAAGGAATGTCATTTGTTGTTCTGGATAAAAAACTTGAGCTGTAGGAAGAAAAGTATCTTCCAGAAGTTCCTTATAATTCATTGCATTCATTCGTCCACTTATTTCCACAAGCTCACCAGGACCATCTTTGCACATCCATCCCCAAAATCCAATTGAAATACGTCCACTCCGGCGATTAGGCAGCACATTTTGTTCTAAGTAACATGTGTTTTCGGGTCGCCACAAACTTAATCGCCCATTATCTGATGAGCAGAGAACCTTTTCGTCCATGAAAATAACGTTTTGAAAATTAAAATTTAAATAATTAGCTGCAAATTGTAGCCGCTGCATTTTGTGCCTTGGCGTGAGAGTTGGTTTTTTTGCCGGTACTCTATTTTTTAAACCTCCTTCTTTTAATCGTCTTCTAATGGTGCTAGTGGATATTTCGAATGTGCTTGAAAATTGTGTAGTGTTTATAAATCTGTCATTTTTGGCTTTATCTATAATAGCTATGTCTTGGTTATTTGTAGTAATACGCGGGCGACCAAATGAAACATGATTATTTAATGTTTCTCCTTGCTGCCATCTTTCTAGCCATAAATATACAGTATTTCTCTGAAATAAATACAATTTTATACTTTGTGAATAAAGTTTCATGTTTTGTGGGCAATTGATTTTTAGCATTTTTCTCCGTGATACTTACGGCTATCCCTAGCTCATCGGCGATATCTTTTACGGATAAACCATCATTTTTTAGTTGTATTATTTTATGTTTCATTTCCGCATCAATACGGTACGAACTCATATTAATTATAGTTAATTTATGGTATGAACTAATACGTAAGCAAGCTGCTTGAATTTATTTGTGCATGACACATGACAGAGGTGATAAGAATAAAAACTGGAAAGTGTTTAACTGCCAGCGTCATCTTATTATAAATAAATAATTAAGAGGTCCTATTAAAATTGTATGTTCAGATATTATTGACAGGCATCTGCTCAGATATTATTGAAGTAATGAATGATCAGATATTAATGGTCACTTGTAGTGTATAGAACTTATTGACATTTTAACTGTTCAGATGTATTTGGTCATCTTGTATGCTCAGATATATCTGATGGCGACTGTACCAATCGAGAAATTAAGAAATTATTTATAGAATCTTATTTAGATATTTTTAAAACATTAATCAGTTGTAGATACCGCGTGTTACCTTTAAAACGTTATATTAAAAAGAAATAAATTTTCTGTAACAATCATATACTTTTTTACAGATGTTGGATTGCCGTATGTTTGTGTATAGAGCAAAATTAAATAATATCACCGATAATGGAGCAAATCACTCCTACATCTTCTTGAGAATGAATATTCTGAATTCAACGAAGGAGACTAAGGTAATAATAATAATTAATCATTTATTCACTGGGTGCGAAGAAGGTGGTGGGAGAGCCACGAACCGACGCATGAAGGCTAAAAAAACTTTTTGATATTTTACTTAGTGATACACTGTCACTTTTTACTAGTGAAATTAACGTATCTGTACATTTTACTAGTAAGTAAAAGTAAAAAAAAAAATTTAGTAAAAGCAGAAATAAAAGAATTTAGTTGAGATACACAGATTGATATTAATTGGTTTTTCTAATTTCCGAGATAGAAAAAAAAGACTCCTGCTCAATTTTATTTTAGTTTATATAGTTGATTTGGCTATGTTTAACTGAAAATACACAAAAAGTCTACATTATTAACAACACGACAGTCATAAATGATCGTTTGCAATATATTATATGAAATGCATTATTCGATTAAATTTGGTTTTTTTTTGTCTTTACATACTTCTCGTGAAGTCTGCTATGAGAAAGTCTGTATGTACTACCTGAAATTTACTGACTATGGCATTTTAGACGGGAAATAAATAGGATCAACATTATTATCGACATTTTAAATTTATACGATTAGCCGGCGTCACCTTTAAGGTGTATGTCTTAATAAAGAATAAAAAAATATATACGATCGAATAAGTTCAATAAAATATCGTAAATTACAATATTTTGTTGATTGTTTGTTTACATAATATTCGCAATAACAGCCAGCTATTTGACATAGCAATTCCGACGTAATTGTAACCGCTAGTTGCCGCTGTCATCGCGCACCCAGCGAATATCAGCGAAAGTTTTATCATCAGTTTCACTAGCTCGTCTTGTTCTTAAATTAGCATGAATATGAACCACTCTAATAATTATTATTTCCATCATAACGGTGTAAAGTCGGCTTAGGGTGTAGACCTCCTAAATCCATTTTTACTGAATTTACGTTTTATCTACCTTTCGAAAGAAGAAAAGAGACAGACAATCTGAGAAAAACAGCTATAACAAATAACTTTATATTGATGAATTTAGCGGAAATACATGATTAGTAAAACCGTCAAACTCATGAATTCAAAAGTGCGTTGCTAACTCCACTGTTAATGAAACAGAAACAAAATGAACTACAAAAGGCTGAATCCAATCAACCAATTTAGAAGCATGAACCGTAATTCCAAATTGTGAATTTGAATTCATAAATCTATCTGTATTATCGAATTCTGATGGCTCCCAAATCAAAGAAAACCAAAGAGTATCTCAGCTTGGTGTTCGTAGACTATATATAGCATTCGATTCGATTGAGACCTGGGCGATATCAGAGTCTGACCAAATGTGCCAAGTAGATTACAGGTGTGACTAGGTGTTAAGGTATCTTTACGAAAACGCCACTATGTCAGTCCGATAACAAAACAAGAGCTCTAATCATATCCGAATTCAGGAAAAGCATGAAGCAGCGACAGGTAATATCTTCGAAATTGCACAGCTGCGTTGAGAGATATGTTCAAGCTTCTAGAGTAGCAAGGCATTAGCATTTAGTATTCGCCCTAGTTAAAATTGTGAACTCTATATTCGAAATTGCTGACCACTACGTATAACGGAGGCAAACAGTCTAGTAAGATAAGTTCAACTTCGAAATCTCGAAAAAATAAATCTCTTGTAGAAGCCAGCTCGAATGAGAAGCGTTCGGGAAATAACGTAAGATCTTCGAGTCCAAATTATCTGTGTCTCAATCTCAAGACTTTCTTGACCAATGATGACCTACGGAAGTGAAACATGGTCGTTATCTACGGATCCCATAAGACGGCTCGGGGTCACACAGCGAGCAATCGATAGAGCGATATAGAATCAGAAATGAGAAAATCCGTAGAAGATCTCAAGTAACTGATATTGCTCATAGGATTGCTCTGCTGAAGTAGTATAGGCAGGACACGTAGCGACGAGAACTGATGACCGTTTGGGCGGAAAGGTCTTCAAATGGAGACCGCGCATTTCGACTCGGACCGATGATCTAGCGAGTGGCGCAGGACCGGTGTGGAGATCCTTGGGGGTGACCTTTGATCAACATTTGGCGTGGCGCGGCTGATACGATGATAATGATGAACTATGCTATCAAATGAAGTAGAAACCAAAAACTACCTACCGGCATTAATAAAGCTATAAGTGAAAGTAAAAATAAGCTTCAGAATTCCGCTGATTTTAATTATAGTAAATATAAAGTAATGAAAATGCTTTATTGACGATTTACATTATCTTCATTAAATGCAGTCAGTATTAAAAAAATCGATATTTCTTATCGATACTGAAATGTAGCAATTTAGCTTCGATATTCAAACCCTACTCATAAATAATAATGTTATTATACGTCATTGTCACGAAGAAGAGAGTTTTATTTTAGCTTTTTCCTACGTTTTTATCAAAGTGGTATCAGAAGTGGGATTACGCCGAATTGTGTCCTCCATCCCCTAGCGGAGCCGTAAGCTGGTATTTGCCGCACTTCGGTGTAGTTCACCCCCAGAAATTGAAGTTAAGGGTGGTATATTATGCAGCCGCGCAGGTTCAAGGTGTGAGCTTAAATTCTATGTTGCTCTCCGGGCCTGATCTTCTCCAACCTTTGTTGGCTTTACTAATGCGTTTTAGAGAAGCTCGAATAGCTCTCAATGCTGACATTCGGGAAATGTTCCCGCAGACGAAAATTCGGGTAGAAGATCGGGATGCGCAGCGGTTTTTGTGGCGCAACGACCCCTCCGAGCCGGTTCGCGAGTACAGGATGTCATCCATGATTTTCGGTGCCACGTCAAGTCCCTTTACGGCTCTTTATTTGAAAAATCGTAATGCCCAGGAATATTGTCACGAAAAAAAGCTTCCCCACATGGAGAGCGCTCCTTCAACGTGGCAGAAAGAGCCGTCTTAATACTTCGCACGAGTCGCTCCCAACATCCGCCCATGAATGGAGCTGAAGGGGGAATCAACTTCCACTTTATTTGTTTATTACATGCATACTCCACTACCGGCGCGCCATACAACCTTTGAAGTTCTCGACTGACCCCCACAAACGCCGTCCCATTGTCTTAATATATAGTTGTTGGTGTTCCACGGCGGGCGATGAACCGGCGAATGCACATAATAGCTGAGTCAGTACTAAGGCTGGCAGCTACCTCCAAATGGACGGCGCGCACCGTGAGGCAGGTAAACAACGCCACATACCGCTTCTCTGTTCGCCGTCCTATGGAAACTTGAAGAGGTCCAAAATAATCTAGTCCTGTGTGAGTAAACGGTCTCTCGTGGTGGGCCAACCGTTCTGATGGTAAATCGCCAGTTAAAGGTGTGGTTGGTAGGGCCTTCCGAATTTTGCACAGACGGCAGTCATTAACCACTCTTTTCACTGCCAGTGGCAGGCCAATGATGTGATATTTTTGACGCAACTCATTCACGACGGTCTCGTTGTTTGAATGAGCCATGAGCTGGTGAACGGAAGCAATGAGCAGTCGCGCGATCCTGTGTTTTCCATCAAGCACAACTGGGTTTATAGCGGTGGAGACGTTCTCAGCTACAGCAACAATGTTTCGACAAATATATAAATGGTATCGAAGAGGGTATTCGTAGTACTCCCAAGGCCTTTTGGTCATATGTCAAGTCCAAGCGCGGTGGTTCTCAATACCCCAAACAATTTACAAGCCAGGGCAGGTCTATTACAGGTGGTCATTCTATATGTAATGAATTCAATAATTATTTCAAAAATATGTTTTGCACCTCCAACCCTCCACAACCGCTATTAACAAGTAGTAATGATGAGGGCTGTCCATTGGATATAATATCCAGTTTATCTGTGACTTCCAGCGAGGTTTATGATAAACTCAAAACTCTGGATACTTCTAAGGGTCCAGGCTGTGATGGGATAGCACCCATATTTCTGCGAAAATGTGCTAAGTCATTGGCCTATCCTATTTCACTGTTGTTTGATATGTCTTTAAAACAATGCGTTTTTCCTGTAATGTGGAAAAAGCCTTCATAGTGCCTATCCATAAAAAAGGATCGAAGGCGGATATGTGTAATTACCGTCCGATTTCTATTTTGAATGTTTTAAGTAAAATGATGGAAAGAATCGTTTACGAAAGAATTTATCCAATCATCACTGACGGAATCTCGCACCATCAGCACGGTTTCTTAAAGCGAAAGTCCACTATTTCTAATCTGGCTGAATTTAGTAACTATGTACTTTGTGAAATGGAAAGTTGCGGTCAGGTTGATGTGATCTACACAGATTTTGAAAAGGCGTTCGATCGTGTAGATCACGACATACTCCTGAGCAAACTGTATAAACTGGGAATACGAGGAGACTTATTAAGATGGGTAACTTCCTATATCTGTAACCGCATGCAGGCCGTGGTCATTGGTGGCTTCAAATCCGATTATATAATAATTCCATCAGGTGTTCCCCAGGGTTCACATCTCGGTCCTCTATTCTATTGTGCTTATATCTACGATATAGCTCAATGCCTCAAGTTTTCAAACCATCTTCTTTATGCGGATGACAAAAAGGTTTTTCTGAGGGTAAGATCTATTGAAGATTGTAAACTTATTCAGCAAGACTTGGACAACTTGTATTCTTACTACCTACACAACAATATAACAGTAAATATTGAAAAATGCCTCTGTATCACTTTCAGCCGTAAAAAAAAATAAGGTGGTTTACCCGTATCACTTTGATGGAGTGTCAATTAATCGTACTGAGCTTGTTAAGGACTTAGGAGTTCTATTGGACTCTACAATGCTGTTTTCCAATCACATAGACTCTATAACAAATAGATCTTTCAGCAACCTTGGCTTTATAATCAGGACTTGTAAACCCTTTAAGAACCTCAGTAGTCTGAAGCAAATCTACTCCGCTTATTGTCGTAGCATACTCGAGTATGGCAGTTCCATTTGGAATCCTCAGTATGCTACGTATATTAACAAATTGGAAAAAATCCAAAAATGTTTCCTGAAACATCTCAGTTTCAAAAGTGGTAAGCAACGTGGGACGTATCAGGAGG